AGTTTGGAATGTTATTCCATTTCTTTGTGTCTTCTTCAATTTCCTTCATAAGTTTTCTATAGTTTTCATCATACAGATCTCTTATATCTTTGGTTAGGTTTATTCCTAGGTATTTTATGGTTTTTTGAGCAATTTTGAATGGGATCAGTTTCTTGATTTCTCTTTCTGTTGCTTCATCGTTGGTGTATAAAAATGCAACCGATTTCTGTACATTGATTTTGTATCCTGCAACTTTGCTGACGTCATGGGTCAGTTCTAGTAGGCTTCTGGTGAAGTCTGTCAGGTTTTCTATGTAGAGTATCATGTCGTCTGTGAACAGTGAAAGTTTGACTTCTTCTTTGCCAATTCTGATGCCTTTGATTTCCCTTTGTTGTCTGATGGCTGACGCTAGGACTTCCCGCACTATGTGAAACAACAGGGGTGAGAGTGGACATCCCTGTCGTGTTCCTGATCTCAGGGGGAAAGCTCTCAGTTTTTCCCCGTTGAGGATGATGTTAGCTGAAGGCTTCTCATAGATGGCTTTGATGATGTTTAAGTAGGTTCCTTCTATCCCGACTTTCTCTAGAGTCTTTATTAAGAAGGGATGCTGTATTTTTTTCAAATGCTTTTTCTGCATCTATCGACAGGATCATATGGTTTTTATCTTTTCTTTTGTTAATGTGATGTATCACATTGATTGATTTGCGAATATTGAACCAGCCCTGTAACCCAGCAGTGAATCCCCCTTGATCTTGGTGGATAATTCTTTTTATGTGCTGTTGGATTCGATTTGCAAGTATCTTTTTGAGGATTTTTGCGTCGGTATTCATCAAGGATATTGGCCTGTAGTTCTCCTTTTTTTGCTGGGTCTCTGTCTGGCTTGGGAATCAAAGTGATGCTGGCTTCATAAAATGAGTCTGGAAGTTTTCCTTCGATTTCTATTTTTTGGAATAGCTTGAGAAGAATGGGTATTAATTCTGTTTTAAATGTCTGGTAGAATTCCAGAGGGAAGCCATCTGGCCCAGGGCTCTTATTTGTTGGGAGATTTTTGATAACTGATTCAGTTTCTTGACCTGTTATGGGTCTGTTCAGATTTTCTATCTCTTCCCGTGTGAATTTTGGTAGTGAGTGTGTGTTTAGGAATTTGTCCATTTCTTCTAAGTTGACCAATTTGTTGACATATAATTTTTCATAGTATTCTCTGATAATTGCTTGTGTTTCTGAGGGGTTGGTTGTAATAAGTCAATTTTCATTCATGATTTTGTCCATTTGAGTGCTCTCTCTTTTCTTTCTGAGAAGCCTGGCTAGAGGTTTGTCAATTTTGTTTATTTTTTCAAAAAACCAACTCTTGGTTTCATTGATCTGTTCAACGGTTTCTTTGCTTACTATATTGTTTATTTCTGCTCTGATTTTTATTATTTCTCTTCTTCTAATGGGTTTGGGGTTCTCTTGTTGCTCTCCCTCTAGGTCTTTTAGGTGAGCTGTTAGATTTTGCATTTGCGCTTTTTCTAATTTCTTGAAATAGGCCTGGAGTGCGTACTTTTCTCCTCTTAGGACTGCCTTTGCCACATCCCATAGAGTTTGGATTGTTGTGTTTTCGTTTTCATTTGTTTTCCATTTTTAAAAATTTCTTCTCTAATTGCCTGATTGGCCCATTTGTTCTTTAGCAGGGTGTTCTTTAACCTCCATGTTTTTGGAGGTTTTCCAGACTTCTTCCTATGATTGATTTCGAGTTTTATAGCACTGTGATCTGAAAGTGTGAATGGTATGATCTCAGTTCTTTTATATTTATTGAGGGCTGCTTTATGTCCCAGTATGTGGTCTATCATGGAGAATGTGCCATGTGCACTTGAGAAGAAAGTGAATTCCATGGCCTCAGGATGTAGAGATCTAAATATAGCTGTCAAATCCATCTGGTCCAATGTGTCCTTCAAGTCCATTGTTTCTTTATTGATTTTCTGTCTAGTTGATCTCCCCATTCCTGTAAGTGGAGTATTAAAGTCCCCTGCTATTAGCACATTCTTATCGATAAGAGTGTTTCTGTTTGTGATTAATTATTTTAAATATTTAGGTGCTCACATATTCGGTGCATAGACATTTATAATTGTTAGTTCTTCCTGATGGACAGACCCTGTAATTATTATATAATGCCATTCTTCATCCTTTGTTACTGTCTTTACTTTAAAGTCCAGTTTGTCTGATATAAGTATAGCTACTGCAGCTTTCTTTTCACTTCCAGTAGCATGATATATATTTCTCCATCCCCTTACTTTTAATCTGAAGGTGTCCTCCAGTCTAAAATGCATTTCTTGTAGACAGCAAATAGATGGATTTTGGTTTTTTATCCATTCTTCTACCCTATGTCTTTTGATTGGAGCATTCAGCCCATTTACATTCAGTGTTATTATTGAAAAATATGGGTTTAGAGTCATTGTGTCGTTTGTGGGATTCTTGCTTGTGGTGGTGTCTCTCGTATCTTGTGTTCCTTGCAACATTTCCCTCAGAGAGTCCCCCTCAGGATTTTTTGTAGGGCTGGTTTAGTGGTGACAAATTCTTTCCATTTTTGTTTCTTTGGAAAGACTTTGATCTCTCCTTCTATTCTGAATGACAGGCTTGCTGGATAGAGGATTCTTGGCTGCATATTTTTTCTGTTCATCACATTGAAGATTTCCTGCCCTTCCTTTCTGGCCTGCCACGTTTCAGTAGATAGGTCTGTCACCACTCTGATACGTTTCCCTGTGTATGTTAGGGCCCTTTTCTCCCTAGCTGCTTTCAGAATTCTCTCTTTGTCCTTGTATTTTGCCTGGTTCACTATGATATGTCCTGCAGAAGATCGATTCAAGTTATGTCTGAGGGGAGTTCTTTGTGCCTCTCGGATTTCAATGTCTGTTTCCTTCCCCAGGTCGGGGAAGTTCTCTGCTATAATTTGTTCCAGGGCTCCTTCAGCACCTTTCCCTCTCTCTTCCTCTTCTGGAATTCTTATGATACGGATATTGTTCCGTCTGATTGTATCGCTGAGCTCTCAACTCTTCTTTCGTGTTCCTGGATCAGCTCATCTCTCTTTTTCTCAGCTTCCTCTTTTTCTATAATTGTGTCTTCTAAATCACTTATTCTCCTTTCTGCCTCTTCAATCCGTGCATTGGACGCCTCCATTTTATTATGTATCTCATTTATAGCATTTTTTAATTCATCATAACTATTTTTAAGCTCCATAGTGTTTGTAGCAATAGTTTCTCTGATGTCTTCCATGCTTTTTTCAAGCCCAGTTATTAATTTTATGATTATTTTTCTAAATTTTTGTTCAGTTATGTTGCTTTTATCTGTTTTGAGCAGTTCTTTAGCTGTCATTTCTTCCTGGACTTTCTTTGGAGGAGAATTCTTCAGTTCGTCATTTTGGTTAGCTTTCTGTCTCTTGTTAATTTTACAAGCTTGTTGTACACTCTGCCCCTGCGAGTTCTGCTGTATTAAAGAGGGCTCTTTGACTGTTCAGGTCCTCTCCATTCAGGAAGTGTTCTTTGAATGGTGTCTCTTGTTGAGAGTTTGGTTATTTTGTATCCCTACTCGTAGTGGTACTTGGGACTCTCCACCATATGTAGTTTGGCTTGTTTCTTGAGGTAGCCCTGGAAAAAGAAAACAGACAACCACAGAGGGAACACAGGTACACAAACGCACAGACAAAACCAATAAACATGCAAACCGAGGCTTAAGTAAAAACAACAACAACAACAACAACAAAACAGCTCTCTGGAGGGGATGGGCTTGGTTTGGTGTAGGCAGGTCTTGCCTCCACTGTGTCCCCCTGGCTGCTCCTTGAGGCCCCGCCTTGGTGGTTGTGGGGAGAACAATGGTGTTGCCCCAGTCCCTTCTCAACCAAGTGTTGCAAATCACTCCTTTGGGTCTGATCTCCCTGTGCTGAGGACGTAGCCAAGGTGGGCCGAGTTCTATGCCCCACGCCCTGCCTGTTTCCAGGTCCCAGTCTGCGCTTTGTTTATACTGCCCAAAACAGTCCCCCAGGTTGCAGATTCCCTGCTGCCGGGGGTTGAGTGGGGGCTGGGGGAAGTGTCTCAGTCTCAGATCCAACGCCGGATCAAGCAGCGATACAACCTGGGATCCGAGGCCTCCGTGCACCCCACGTGCATGCGGGGAATGTAGCAGCTTCAGGTCTGCAGAGTCCTCGCCGCCGCCGAGCTGCCGCTGTCGCTGCCACTGGGGATGGTACCGGGAGCACAGCAGAGCGGTTTTTCCTGGCGCCTTCTGGGACCGGGGGCACGTAGTTCAAAGTCAGCACCCCAGCCAGAACTAAAAAACACTGTCTTTCCAAGCCGAGGTTTTTCTCTTCTCCATGGACGGTTCTATGAGCACTTTCAGCTTCTCTTTCTTTTCCCCTCGGCTCATCACTCACCGCGGCTGCCCGCAAGCCGGGTTCCCTCCCCTCCCTCGGTATCTCCGGGTCCCGGCCTCTTTTATCTTCCCCAGTTCGCACTCACGCACTAATGAGGTTTCCTTCCCAGTGTACTCTGTCTCTGTCTCTTCCCAGACTCCTGTGGCTCAGTGTCCTACGACTTCAGGCCTTCTCTGTTTGAGAGATGGGTGCAAGCGAAATGCACGGAGCTCCCTACTTCTCCGCCATCTTGCCGTCTCTCAGGCATTTGTGTTTTAGGCACTGAGTTTCCTCCAGGTAGTCTCATCAGATAAGCGTCTTGATCTAGCTGAAGCATAAGAGTTGAATCCTGTCAGCTCCAGCTGTTTATCATCTGTCAGTGGTCACACATCCCTGCTCTGATGACGTCACAGTAATGCTTTGTGCACAAGTGAGGAGATGGTTGTGCACAGCTGTGAGAAAGCTAGTGTCCCACTGGTTTGAGCAACCTTTGCCATGGGATCTGTTTCCTTCAGGAGGGGGCGGGTGGGAATGTTGCCTCTTACCAACAAAGGGAACATCAGATAGAGAGTGCTTCCGGGTAGCTTACCTTAGTGCTGGCCACTCTCCAGTTCTCATTTGTGTCATTTTTCTGTCCTAGATTTACTATTCTGAAGGTGGACAAGCTACAGCCATCGGGCAATTTAAAGGTCGGATTGTAGGGTCCAGCGACCCAGATAACGCATCTATCACTATTTCACATATGCAACCAGCAGATAGTGGTGTCTACGTCTGTGATGTTAACAACCCCCCTGACTTTGTCGGAAAAAATCAAGGCATCCTCAAAGTCAATGTGTTAGGTATGGGCCATTTTTTTTTCCTGTTTGCTTGTTTGTTTTTTCTCTTCTCGGAACAACTAAGACCTTAAATGATCCAGGGCAGTGAGTTATGGTGCTAATTAAGTCCCATGGGATAAATATCCTCCTTGCTCCTTTTATTAGCAGGGAAAGAGAGATACAGCACCATCCCAGCCCTCATAGTAACACTGAGAAATCAGTGATGAAACATGTTGAAACAATTGCCAAACGGTAAGTGCTGTCAAAATGGCAGAAAGCAGAGGATGACCCAACCTCCGGGGATCCGTTGTTCTAATCGGTGGAATGGGAACAAATGGGACAATGCACAGTCCCCACTAAATGATCACTAGCAACTCCTTCAGAGCGAAGCTCTGTTTGGAGCCAGTCTTACCTGGGGGGGGAGAGAACTGTCAATTTATTATCTCTCCTAAGCCAGCCACAATTCCCACCATCAAACCATTCTTTTGAATAAAGGCAAGAAGGTCCCATTTAAAATGGGTGGGGGCAGTGGGTGAGGGGAAAATGGGTGATGGGCATTGAGGAGGGCACATGTTGGGATGTGCGCTGGGTGTTGTACATAAGCAGTGAATCATGGGATTCTACTCCCAAAGCCAAGAGCACACTGTATACACTGTATGTTAGCTAACTTGACAATAAATTATATTTAAAAAACATTAACAATATTTGGAGAAAGGACCACATGTTAAGCCAGAGTTGAGAATTTTTCTGTATACAGATATTCATTATGGGTTATTCGGCAAGTCCTACCTGCTTTTCAAATGCATTTGGAGTCGTTCAATTGTACAATATTTATTGAGTGCCTATTTTGTGCCAGGACCCATGAGGTTTACAGTGATGGAGGCATGGTTTCTGCTCTCAGAGGGTTCGCAATTTTTGGTGGTTTCTAGCGCTCCTTTCAGTCTCTGAGAGGGCAATGAGAGATTTGCTCCTGTCTGCAGGCCTGTGGATGTACTGAAGGGATAGAGGAAAGGGCTGTCAAGCTTCACCAATCAACCAGTTGAGCTAAGGATGCTCCCATTTCTAAGTAATCCCAAATGGAGCTGATCTAGTCACTGTTCCTCTTGAGCTATGTACCTCCATCACAGGAAAGAAGGAACTAGATCCAACCAGTGGCTTGATAATTGACTAGCTTGGAAAAGCAGCAGTTGGTAGCAAGGTGCACACCTCAGAGAACCATCCAGAATCACCTGAGCTTGCCTCCCAGGTGATTCCCAAAATGAATTGTGAGGTTTGCCACTGCATCTACCCAATGGGAATAGAGGGAAAGATTATCAGGAGCTGATTTTTAAGAGTGGGGTAGCTCAGTCATGCTTTGGTTTTGCTGAGCCCCATGCTAAGCATTGGGGTACAGGGGAAAGACAGAATTACACACAAGCCCTTTCCTGGGAGAGTTGATGTTCCAGTTTGGAAGACTAGTCATGTACAGGGGAGCTAAACAGTGTGGTATATACGCTGGGAGGTCAGAAGGCTTAGGTTCTAGCTCGTACTCCATTACTCAGTGGCCTAAGGGAAGTCAGTCTACTTTTCTCTGGCTATTTGGAGATGGGGTTGTAATTTCTGCCCTGTCTTTACAAGTTTGTGGATCCAATGATATACTGGGGTTTGAGGATCAAATGATACACTGGAGATTCAACTTTCAGAGCATTTGGGGATTAGTCCTCTAAAGTTTTTCTGTGGTTCCCTGGCTCTCAGTTGTCCTTCTGACCAGAAACGACCTAAAGAAGCCAAGCCTTTGAGGGGTTGGGCATGTTGGGGGCAGCAGGGGAGGAGAGGGTAAGGAGGCCAACTGTGGGGAGAGGTGTTGATACTTCCTTAGAGATCACTTTTCCTAACAATGCATTTCCCAGAGACATTCCATTACCCAGTGATGGACACTCACTGGCGTCCATGGGATGGATCCCATGCTTTGGCTCATTCCTGCATAAATTCATTCAACAAATCCTGACCATGTGTTCAGTTACTGTGCTACACAACAGTGATGGAAAGATGGAAAATACAGAGTTTCAGCCCTCCAAACATTTAGAGAACAGGGGCTGAGATGGCAGGGCATGGTTTAGGTAAAGCAAACAGCAATGAGCAAAGACGCAGGTGGTTTGGACGACCATTCATTTGAGAGACTTCCATTAGGCATGACAGCCGTGGAAAATGAAGCTTTGAAAAATACCCAGATAGAAGTTTGAGTAATTATTTTGTATGCATTTGGAATAAGCATCCTATCCTTCTGCGGTTTGCACATAAAAAGAAAATGATGAATTTAGAGAAGGCTTGAGAACACAATGAAGCATTTTCATTTACTTTCTGAGGTGAGCCTCTTCCTCCCACCCCAGTTCTATTGAAAGCAATAATGCTAAATGGTAGATCAATGGCTTTGCCAGTAAAACATCCAAGTTCTACTCGGGATGTTAACTGGATGAAATGTCAATTCCATCCTGATTCAGTAGTTTTAGAAAATATATAGGTTTGGGATGTAGTTCAAAGTGATTCGCTAAGTGTTTTGCTAATAAAAAATAAAACGATGAAAATGTGTCCAGCAAAAACCAAAAAGCCTATCTGGGTTTGATTCTGGGTTCTAGAAATACACCCCCCCCCCCCGCTTCATTTAATTTTCGTTTGAAAATGCTCTATTCTGCTGTAAAGGCGATCCGATCAAATCATCATGGTGATAATCAGGCAGTTTCTAAATCTAGGTGATGGTTGCCATGGGGTAAGGAAAAGAGAATAAAGAGCTAAATAGAAAAATACTTATTTTAATTAAAAAGAAAACCCACCTGTTTAAATGATGGGCTAGTGAAGGGTGTCAAAGAGCTACAGCTGTATCCATCTGTCTTCTCGCTCGTGCGTAGAGTGGGTTAGAGTCCGAGACTGGAAGCTTAACTTCAGTAGCAAACCATAAAATGTGAAAGCCCAAGCCCAACAGCAAGTCCATGTGCAAGGCGTTATAGGCATTATTTTACTAATATAAATTCAGTATATTTGGATTAGCCGGAGATAAAGTCAATACATTAGGATATATAGTATCCAATATGTTTGGATGGTCTGGATTACAGATGAATCAGCTGAGGGGCGGTTATGTTACCTTACTTGCCTAAACACTATCTAGAGTAAAACTGCAGAGCGAGCAGTCCCCAAGTCCAAACTGAGAGCTGGAGAGCTGGGAGCCCAGAGTGTTCAAGGCATACGGGCCTAAGCTAGAGAACCTCTGTCTTTGGGGGGTTTCAGACCTAAGGGAAGAGAAGGAAGGCGAATTGGTAAGTATTGAACTTCAGATTATTATCTATATGTAACACGAGGCTTCGACTAAGCTGTGGGCAGCAAGATGAACGAGGAAATTCAGATTCACGCTTTCCCATGGAACTTCTCCGCGGAGATGTTTTCATAAACAGCTAGAACTCAGTATGTCCCAAACTGACCTTATCATCGCCCCTTCCTCCTCTGCCCTCCTTCCCTGAAAACCTGCTCCTTCTGTATTCTTTATCTCAGGATGACGAGCTCATGTACCCAGCTGTCCAAATCAGAAACCTAGGAATCATCATTGCTACACCCTCTTCCTCATGCCCCTTATCCGTCTGGTCACCAAGTCCTGTCGATTCCACTTCCTTGATACCTCGTGATGATGTCCCCTCGTTGCACCCCCAGAGAACATTAAAAATGGCCATCATCCTTCCCCTACTTAAATTCCTTCCATGATGCTCCTGCTCTCTCTATAAAATACATGAGAGGCACCTGGATGGCTCGGTCAGTTAAGCGTCCGACTTTGGCTAGGGACCTGATCTCACAGTTCGTGAGTTTGAGCCCTGTGTCGGGCTCTGAGCTGACAGTGTGGACCCTACTTGGGATTCTCTTCCTGCCTCTCTCCCACTTGTGCTTTCTCTCTCAAAATAAATAGATAAACTTAAGACAAATACACGAAATACAAAGCCCTCCAAACTATGGCCTCTGCTGCTCTCTGGCCTCATCTCTCACTACTCCCCCCACCCCACTTCAGAAGTGTTTCAGGGTTACTCTTGAACTTCTGGTGCCTGGTCTAGCACCCGGCACATAGAAGGCACACAAGTAAATGCATGTGGAGTGAAAGATACATAAACGTCTCAGCTTTGTGTAGCACATCCTCTCAAAATGGGCTTCCCCTGCTGATGAGGGACACAGGCAAGTTCAAACTTCCAATAGCTTTGTGTCGCCCCCCCCCCAGAGAAATTAATGTCAAAAAGTGACTTATAAAGGAAAAGAAAAACACAGCATTAGTAAAACAAATTTTGTAACAAGAATAAAGAACAACTTATCGCAACGTATTTAAGGGTCCTATTTTCCTTTAAAACTGTGCTTCAAAAGTATAAACTCTGTTCTTAGTCATTTAGTGTTTGGTTACATTTGGCAGTTTTAATAAAGGCATATTTTAAGACATAATGCAGAGATTCATGGTTGTGAATCTGGGGGAGAGGCCCACGGAAGAGATCCGGTTAGAATCTTAATGGCCTGGTGACTGGAAGGTCCTTGAACCTGAAGTGCTCTATCCCCACCTGGTGGTACAATCAGAAAACTGTCAAACTAACGTTTTAAAGCTTTAAAAATGGAGTGCTCACAAAATGACAGGAGGTGACTGTAGTATGTACAGATTGCAATTCCCCCTGCCGGACGCTTACTCTTTGTCATTGCCTTACAGTCAAGCCTTCTAAGCCCCTTTGCAGCATCCAAGGATTACCAGAAACTGGCCATCCTATATCTCTTTCTTGCCTCTCGGTCTTTGGGACACCTTCCCCTGTGTACTACTGGTATAAAGTTAAAGGAGGAGACATCGTCCCAGTGAAAGAAAACTTCAGTAAGTACAGCGCTCTGGGGGCCCTGGGTGGCTCAGTCGGTTAAGCGTCCGACTCTTGGTTTTGGCTCAGGTCGTGATCTCACAGTTTCATGAATTTGAGCCCCGTGTCTGGTTCAGTGCTGGCAGCACAGAGCCTGCTTGGGATTCTCTGTCTTCTTCTCTCTCTGTCCCTCCCTCACTCATGCTGTCTTTTTCTCTCCCTCAGGATAAATAAATAAACTTAAATAAAAAGTACAGTCCTCCACAGTCCCTGGCAAGGCATAGTGTGTGTGGTTGACTAACAGCTTGGGTGTGTGGCTGGTTGCTTGTCTTTAGAGCTCAGTCTTAAATTTTTCTGGAAAGGGGATGTCAAAAGATCTCCTAACAAGATGACTGAGGTCTGGTCTTATCCCCAACCTCTAGAAGTCAAGCCTGTTTTTAACTCAGAAGTGGTGGGTATGGAGAGAATAGGGATGGTTCCAGATGGGCTACCTTTGGAATAATTCTCGGGGTCTAGTTGGACCTGGAACATCTCAGGGAAGGGAGGGCCATGTAGGGATGTGAGTGGGAATTGAGCAATTCTGCGACACTGACATGATCTGTCCCCACATAATAGATTTCTAAGGTCTATTTCCTGTTTCTGACAGACCCAGCCACTGGGACTTTGGTTATTGGAAACCTGACCAATTTTGAACAAGGTTATTACCTGTGCACTGCTATCAACAACCTTGGCAATAGTTCCTGCGAAATTGATCTAACTTCTTCACGTGAGTTGATTATCCAACTTTAATAGTTTCTCCTTAGGTCGAGTACCCAGTAAATTAATTAGGATCCTGGTTAGTCCTTCCTGCCTTTCTGGAGATTTTGGTGACTTATTTATAGGTCGATATGATGAATTATTGCTATCCTAAAATCTAATGTTTATATAATACTTAATATGTGCCATAAACTTCCATAAATCACTTATAAAAATTTTGTTTAGCCCTCATAAAATTTCTAAAAAGTAGATATTACTATTTAGTAAGTAAAACAACAGCACCATGGCTAGTGCAGGACTGAATTTTCTTTGTGATGTTGTTTGTGAATCTGGGTGAAACTAGCAATCTGTGTTGCATACGGAGCTCAAAAACTTTCCAGTTCTTCAGTGATTTGTTAAGATCTGCCTCTAATAATAATAGCAATGATATCACTTGTACCTACAGTTACAGTAGCTAATATTTGTGGAGCACAAATGGTGTGCCGGATACGTGGCTGGGTGCGGTGAGCATTATCTCATTCAATTCTCCAACCACCCTGCCAAGGGGGCACAATATACTGTTAGCCTCATTTTACTGAAAAGGAGACTGAAACTCAAGGAGGTAAGTGACTTGTCCAAGGTCATCCAGTTAGTGACTGGCAGAGCCAGGATGCCTTTAAACCACAACCTTTCAGGGGCACCTGGGTGGCCCGGTCATTTCAGCTTCTGACTCTTGATTTTGGCTCAGGTCGTGACCTCACAGCCATGAGATCCAGCCCTGCACTGAGCTCTGTCCTGGTCATAGAACCTTCTTGGGATTCTCAATCTCTCTCTCTCACTCTCTATCCCTCCCCCGCTCATAGGTGCACGTCCACATGCTTTCTTTCTCAAAACAAAACAAAACAAATACAAATTTACAGTTCAAAGGTGTTTAATTACTAAGCACAGAGTTGAGGGCCCAGAGTTGTCAAATTGGGCCATTCAGGGGCAAGCTCTCCTAAGGGCTATCTTGCCACACCTTCAAAGGATCACTTAATAACACCTAGGATCATGTCATCTATTCATTATTTCTAACTCACTTTGAATCTGTGACTTAAACATATACCATATCCAGGTGGCCATTTCCTTTGGACCATTGCTCTCCTATGAAGCTAAGCTTTTTTCCTTCCACTTGTCCTGAATCAAACATTTTCTCTCTGCCTCTCCCTCCCCCCTCACCTTCTCTTTCTCTCTCTCTCTCTCTCCCTCTCAAAATAAATAAATAAACTTGGAAACAAAGAGGTTAGAGTTTTACAAGGGGTGCCCGGGTGGCCGAGTCCCTTAAGCATCCAACTCTTGATTTCAGTTCAGGTCATGATCTCATGGTTCTTGAGCTTGAGCCCTGTGTCAGGCTCTGCACTGACAGTGTGGAGCCTGCTTGGGATTCTCTCTCTCTCTCTGCTCCTTCCCTGCTTGTGCGCGCTCTCTCTCAAAATAAATAAATAAATAAACTTAAGAAAAAAGAAAAACATTTTCCAATTCCAGGTTGCTTCTTCATTTAGCTAATTTCTATTCAAAGGTGAATAGAAATGTTTTTGGTCTTTGTCGTATTCTCATTCTATTGCAGTCCCTTGATCATTTCTTCTGTGTGTCTCTATATCTTCCCCAATCCTGTTTTGCTTTTCCAGAAGTACAGTTATACTGCACATGTAGAGACTCAGCAGTTGTACTTGAGCCTTGCTTCCACTCAAATCCTTCTTCTAAATGATTTTGGCATTTGGTTGTCTGCTCCCTTCCCATCCCTTCCCTTCCCTTCCCTTCCCTTCCCTTCCCTTCCCTTCCCTTCCCTTCCCTCCCCTTCCCTCCCTCCCTTCCTGCTTCCTTGTCTTCCTCCCTCAAACATTAATTGGATATCTACTATATGCCAGGAACTATCATAGGTGACGGAGATACAGAGGTTAGTAAGATACATGTCTTACACTCAAGAACTCACAGTTTAGTTAGAAGGACAAACAGTAAAATGTGTTAAGTGCTATTATAGTGGTCTGTACATGGTCTCTAGGACACCAAAGAAAAAACAATTAATTATGCTTATAGAACCCGGGCCAGCTGTACCAACAAAGTACTACTTGAGCTGGATCTTGAAAGAACTTGCAAAACCTGTTTATCTAGAAAATAGGGATGAAGGTGAAAGGCAGGGGAGGAAAGACACTACAGCAGCAGACTCTCCTAAGAGAGCAAACAGTCCATGCTGGGGGAGGAGGATGGAGGGCTCTAGAAGGGGGAACCATAAGAAACCAATAGAGGGCGCCTGGGTGGCTCAGTCGGTTAAGCATCCATCTTTGGCTCAGGTCATGATCTCACGCTTGGTGAGTTCGAGCCCTGCTTCGGATAAACATGAGCCCTGCGTCAAGTGAGCCTTGCTTCTCTCTCTCTCTTTCTGCCCCTCTCACTTGCACACCCCCCTCAAAAAAAAAAAAAAAAGAAACCAATAGATTATCTGATGTGTTTAAACCTATGTAGAAGAGTTTTAACAGTGTTGGTGGAAATTTGGGGGGTTAGTAGTAATACATTTTTTAAAAATGCCCAAATGAGGTAATTATGAAGCTCACTGAAAAATTGTAAATGTACAAGAATCATAATATATACTATGTTCTGCAGCTGTGGACGATATTCAATAATGCAAACTTTGATGTCACAACAACTTGTGCTATAGCTATTATCAGGAGAATGTGTGAGGGGGGCGACTGTAAGAATAAAATCTCCACCTTCCAGGGAAAGAAGTCACCAAAAAATGACAAAAATTGGAGAATTAGAATAAGTATAATAGAAACATAGGGGCAAATATCAAGATGATTTAAAAAAAGAGAGAGATGGGTGGTTGCGTGGTTGCCTCTAGTGAATGGGACACAGAGATGGGGAGGGGAGGGGGTAGGGTCTGCCATTTCTTTTCTAGAAGTCTAGTTGAATCAGTTCACTTTCCAAATTATACCCATGGATTCCTTTAATCATAAAAAGTCAAGAGAATGATCAGGCAACTCAACTAGCCTCACATCTCCAAGTATAAGATGTCCAGCCTTGTTTGAAGGGAGGCAGATGGGGATGGGCCCCCTGGAGCTCAGACATGGTTCGCCAGGGACAGAACCTTAGTGCTGGAAGGTCTAGTGCTCAGCTGGGTCATCTCACATTCCTTGGGTTGTTCCCTAGACTGATCTAATAAACCAGATGCCTGTTCGTGGAAATGGGCACATCCTTTTCCAGTGGCTGGAATGCATGAGGCTCCTTGGTGAGCATGGAATCTGTGGGAGAGGTTTTTCGGGGACTACTGCACCTATGCTCTAGATAAGTCTGGTGAAACGTCCCTGCCTGTAACAGAGGTCACTTCTCTGGTTACCAGATTGTAGCTCCACAGGTTCCATTGATCAAGAAGATGCCCATTGATGGGGTGCCCGGGTGGTTCACTTGGCTGAGTGTCCAACTCTTGGTTTTGGCTCAGGTCATGAACCCAGGGCCATGGGATCAAGCCCCACATTGGGCTCCATGCTGAGTGTGGAGCCTGCTTAGGATTCTCTCTGTCCATCTCTCTCTGCTCCACCCCCGTGCATGTGCCTGTGTGTGTGCCCATGTGCACTCTGTCTCTAAATAAGCATTTTAAAAAAGCAAAAATAAGAGAAGATACCCATTGCAAACCCACCTCTCTAAACTCCATTTTGAAAGTGACCCTGCCCCCAAGTAGGCATATGTCTTCTTTATGTGTATCAATGTGAAAGGGTAAGCGACATAGTCAAGCCAGTCATCTTTCTTCTCCCCCTATGAGTCTGGCAGAGTTCTCACGGTTTCTGGCCTCTACAAGTCATTTTCCCACTGTATGAGTACTCCAAATACTCTGCACCAGTCACAAATGGCACACGTAAGGGGCAGACAGTATGTTCTACTTTACCAACAGGCTGCTTATATCTTCCAGATCCAGAAGTTGGAATCATTGTTGGGGCATTGGTGGGCACCCTAGTAGGTGCCGCCATTATCATCTCCGTTGTGTGCTTCGCAAGGAGCAAGGCAAAGGCGAAGGGGAAGGGAAGAAAGAGAAATTCGAAAACCACCACAGAGCTCGAGTAAGATCTTATTTTGTTGTCTCTACTACTTGACAGTCAGCTCTTCCTAAGCGCTTCTTTTAGCCTAACTTGTCGAGGGTATCTTTCTGCTCACTCTCGCTGCTTGTATGAAAGAATGATGGTGGCTCCCATTTCTTGAGACCTGTGGGCCAGACTCTGTTCTAAGCACTTTATGTGTATCAACTCACTGAATCACCACAACAGCCCTTTTAGGTCTACAAAAATGTGTTAATATATCATGCTGATATACTCGTCTTTCTACCAACATGGTCATAAAACATAATTTTTAATATTTGTCCTGGAACAAGAGGACCATGGAGTGTACATGGCCCATGGAAGTCGGCATGCGGCTCTGCACACAGCCCATTCTCTTGACCACTCTGCTATTTCTTCCTGAATGTGTGTCGCACTCATTCCTTTGTTTCTCTCTCCATTTCTATGCTTCCACAACTATGTATTGGATTGTGCACAACCATGTGTGTATTGTGCTCGATAGACTGAGAGCTAGCAATGGCCCAGAGCTATGGATTTGGCCCTCAAACGCATTATGTAGACCCTTTTGTCCTAACATCAGTTTTCTTACCTTTTGAATACTGGTTTTTCTCTCTTGAACTCTCTTTATGTTGTTGAGACCTAACCTTTCTGGTCAGGAGACAAGATAAACTTGTGGTCTGACAGTGAGTCAGAGTATCAGAAATCACAGAGGTCTTGAGCAGATTGGAACCAATGTTCACTGAAGTGACACATCCTGTGGTTCCACGTGAAATGGCCAACCCTAACCCCTTCTTCCTTGGGCCTTCTTCCTGCAGACCAATGACGAAGATCAACCAAGGGACAGGGGGTGAGGTCATACCAGCTGAAGATGTTATCCACCTAGAAGGGCCTTTGCCACCTTCCGTCCATGAGGATGAGCCCGATACCATCCTAAGGCTGGATTGTGAGCCTAACCCCCTGCCGGGGCTTGTCCAGGAGGCTGCCCCACAGCCTACCTCAGGTCCTGAGCCTATTCTGGTGCCTGAGATTGAGATAGAGCGGGAGCCAGAGCCGGAGACGGAGCCAGAGGTGGAGCCCGAGCCCGAGCCCGAGCCCGAGCCCGAGCCCGAGCCTGAGCCCGGGATTGGGGTCCGGCCTTTGTGTAGCAAGGAAAAGGGAGTGAATAAGCCATAGGCTGGTAGCCTAAGTACAGTGTTCATCACTAAAGAACCCATAACCGGCATTTAGAATTCTGCTGACTTAACCAATCTCCCACCACCTCCGTCCATTCTGACCAACCGTCTTCTAATGAGGTGCTCCCACCATCAATCAAATAAACAGGTCAAGATACCTACTAAGTAAGTGCAAGGGTTCCTGTGTTACTTACCATTTCACTAACATGTAAGCATAACTAAAGATAAGGCAAGTGATTTCTAATTCGGTTGAAAGTGCTTTGCAGCAATATCTACGTTGTATTTCAGAAAACCTTATTTCTCTATTTTTAGCCACACTTTGTTACATTCCACATGCACACCTGACAAGGTGGCATTAATTGAGTTCAATATTATTTCTACGATCAGTTGTCAAGGCTTCCCTATTCATTTCCACATTTCACATTGGCCCCAAAGACAAAAGTTTGTCGGCATTCAGTCATAGATTAGAACAAACAATCCTCAAAAATTCCGGAGAAGAATATGTAAATTAATTGGTACAAATTAATTACCATATTAAATTGGTACAAAGCATTTAAAACTTCGTCTTGAAATAACTGTTTCATTTATCATATTAGATTTCCCAAGGACCCACTGTGCTAATCAGTATCTTGAGCGTAGCAACATTTTTAAATAACCTAACTTTTAAATGCAAAATAACGTACAGGCAAACAATTCCAAATAGTATTTTCCTCTGCTGAATACACATCATAGGTGATGTACAATTTCGCTTTTAATGAGATACTATGTTACTCCTGTGTCTGATGCTATCCACTTGGGAAGGGCCAGAAATGGGAAACTGTTCTAAATGAACACCTAAGATCTATTTTAGATAATCTGAACTAATTATTTGATCTGTTTCGCGGTTGAAATATTCCACATGAATAGATACCATTCTTGTATAAATGCTAAATATTAACTAAAGTGCATTGATGTCACTTCTTCTCCACCTGTTACAATGTTTTTTCCATTGATCGTATTTTCCCCACATCCTACCTTGAAGAAATTTATGAGTAGACTTTTTCATATGTGTAATCAGAGTTTCAATCTTATTTTGAGGTTCAATAACTAATACTAATAAAAATCTTACTTTAATGATCCTCAGGTGAATATTTTATTAACATTATTGACATATACTTTACATACAATAAATGACACCTATTTCCAGTGTATAATTTGATGAGTTTTGACAGACGTATATACACCCATGAAACCACAATTTAAATAAAGCATTTCCCGGGGCACCTCGGTGGCTCAGTTGGTTAAGTGTCCGATTTCAGCTCAGGTCATGATCTCACAGCTTGTGAGTTTGGGCCCCACATCAGGCTCTGTGCTGACAGCTGAAAGCCTGGAGCCTGCTTCAGATTCTGTGTCAACCCTCTCTCTCTGCCCCTCCCCTGCTCACACTCTGTCTTTCTCAAAAATAAATAAACAAAAAATAATAATAGAGCGTTTCCATCACTCCAAAATGTTTCCTATGCCCTTTTGTGCAATCCCCCATCACACTGGACCTAGGCAGCCACTGATTTGCTTTCCATCATTAGAAATTAGCTTTGCCTTTTCTTGACGTTTGTATAAATGGGATCATACAGTATGCACTTTTTTTGTGTCTGACTTCTTTCCAAGGTGAATCCTTTTTAAATGAAGTAATGAACCTCTAACTTATCACATCCAGATTTTCATGTAGAGAATTTTCTTAAGCTGTGAAACCCTTTATTTATTGAAAAAATTTTCTTTAATGTTTATTTTTGAGACAGACAGAGCATGAGTTGGGGAGGGGCCAAGAGACAGGGGGACACAGAATCTGTGTCAGGGGTGCCTGGGTGGCTCAGTCAGTTAAGTGTCTGACGTTGGCTCAGGTCATGACCTCACAGTTAGTGGGTTCTTTTCCTCTCTCTCTGCCCCTGCTATGTGCTCGCTCTCTCTCTCTCTCAAAATAAATGAAAATAAACTTTAAAATATAAATATATAATTCCATTCATATTAAATATAATATTATGATATACAGTGTCTGATGGGTTCAGGAAGCAAAATGATGAAGGTTTTAAGAATGATCTACTATTTAAGGATTAAAAACTAAAACACCAGCTGTGTGTAAAAATCTCAATGACCAGAACACCAAAGTAGCTGTAATTTACTGATCTCTTGCACTTTTATAATAGAAGCAAATCACAAGAATAGAGACTTATACACAATAGTTAAGTACTATACCCCCAAATTTCTGATGGATCGGTGCTGAGCAGGAAGGAAGTCACTCTTGGTGGTCTTTTAGAGCTCTTTGCTTAATAGCATTTATCTGTTCAAAATACTAATGAATAGTTGGATCAGTGGTTTTCAACTTTTTTTAGGTCATGGATCACCTTGACAATCTGCTGAAAATCCTGGACCCCTCTCCATAGAAAAATGCTTATATACACAAAGTGTCATGTACTGTTTTAGATAAATTAGACTCCCAGGTTCCAAGATTAAGAGCTAGTGACTTAGTTAAAAACACAAAAGGCACACTTAATAAATCTGTGGATGCCTTCCTCCTGGGGGGAATGGTTACGATGTTGTATGACTCAAAATGATCTCCTTAGCCCGGAAGCTGAGCTGAAATCCACAGGAATGCAGGGTAAAGACTATATTTAAAACTATAGAGTTCAGGGGCACCTGGGTGGCTCGGCGGGTTAAGTGTTGGACTCTTGATTTTGCCACAGGTCATGATCTCTTGGGTCATGAGTTTGAGCCCCACGTCTAGGTCTGGACTGATGGTTCGAGGCCTGCTTGTCTCTCTCTCTGTCCCTCCCCTACTCGTGCCCTCTCTCTCTCTCAAAATAAGTAAACTTTAACCCATATAGAGAGTACATGTTGTCCATGCAGAAGCCTTAGCTGGGCAAAGTTGGGATGTAGGTGAGTTTAATTTAAAGTGGTATCTTTGGATCTTTCCTTTCAATACCCTTCCTGGCCATCTGGTGTCTTATTTTCCAATACTCAGGACTCTCATGCACCTACTAGCTCAGCGACCAACTCAGCTCTGCATCCCTCAGGCAGAATTCATTGCTAGGACCTACCTCTACCCTTGACACCATTAAAAAAAAAAAAGTAGCTGTTCTGTGACCTATTCTTGTCTAGTGAACATGACCTTTTATCACCCAGTGAGGTCTCTTGGGTTGATAATGAGTTAGCCTTCTTTTGAGTATTTACCTTTTAGAAAGGGACTCCTGAGCACATATAATTCCTTAATCCAAAGAGTCTAAAAGATAGGCACCTGAGTGGCTCAGTCGGTTGAGTTTTGGACTCAGTTTTGGCTCAGGTCATGATCTCACAGTTTCATGGGTTTGAGCCCTGCATAGAGCTCTACGCTGGTAGTATGGAGCCTGCTTGGGATTCTCTCTTTCTCCCCCTTTCTGCCCCCTCCCACTTGCTCTCTCTCTCTGTCTCTAAATAAATAAACTTAAAAAAAAAAGGAGTCTAAATGGTGGAATTTCATGCACTGGAACAATCCAGAGGGGAGAGATTTCTGGGAAAAGGAGCCTTCTCAGCCCATCTCACATCAAACCATGAAGGGTAACCATCTACTCTACCTACGCACAAGGCCAGTCTGCGAGAGTTCAACTTTCATCTCAGTCTCCTTAATCTCCTATTAGCATTTCCATAACACACCATGCATTTGTTCATGATCAGTCCTGAAATCCTATAAAATATTAAATCACAACAAAATTATTTATATAGTTTATTGTCAAGTTGGTTTATATATAACACCCAGTGCTCATCCCCACAAGTGCCCTCCTCCATGCCCATCACCCTCCTTCCACTCTCCCCCACCCCCCCTCAGCCCTCAGTTTGTTCTCAGCATTCAAGAATCTCTCATGGTTTGCCTCCCTCTCTCTCCCCAACTATTTTCCCCTTTTTCTCCCGCTTTGTCCTCCATTAACTTCCTCCTAATCCACCTATATGTGCAAACATATGGTATCTGTCCTTTTCTGTGTGACTCATTTCGCTCAGCATAACACGCTCTAGTTCCATCCATGCTGCTACACATGGCCAAATTTCATTCTTTCTCATTGCCATGTACATATTCCATTGTATAAATATACCACATCTTCTTGATCCATTCATCAGGTGATGGACACTTAGGTTCTTTCCATGTTTTGGCTATTGTTGAGAGTGCTGCTATGAATATTGGGGTACATGTGCCCCTATGCATCAGCACTCCTGTATCCCTTGGGGAAATTCTTAGCAGTGCTACTGCCGGGTCATAGGGGAGTTCTATTGTTAATTTTTTGAGGAACCTCCATACTGTTTTCCAGAGGGGTTGCACCAGCTTACATTCCCACCAGCAGTGTAGGAAGGTGCCCGTGTCTCCACATCTTCGCCAGCATCTAGAGTCTCCTGATTTGTTCATTTTAGCCACTCTGACCGTTGTGAGGTGGTATCTCAGTGTGGTTTTGATTTGTATTTCCCTGATGAGGAGGGACGCTAAGCATCGTTTCATTTGTCTGTTGGCCATCTGGATGTCCTCTTTGGAGAAGTGTCTGTTCATGTTTTCTGCCCATTTCTTCACTGGATTGTTTGTTTTTCGGGTGTGGGGTTTGATGAATTCCTTATAGATTTTGGATACTAGCCCTTTATCTGATATGTCATTTGCAACTATCTTTTCCCATTCCGTCAGTTGCCTATTAGTTTTATGGATTGTTTCCTTTGCCGTGCAGAAGCTTTTAATCTTGATGAGGTCCCAGTAGTTCATTTTTGCTCATTTTTGTTCATTTTGCTTGAGTGCTGACTCAAGAGAGGAAGGCTGGGCTTCGTACTGCACTGGGGAGGGCCTCCAAATCACAGTGGTCTATGAAAAAGGGACTAAAACATAGTAATTCTTGCCCAATAGCTAAGAAATCATGTATATGGATATCTCCAATGTCTTTCAGAGTACCAGCGGACCTTTACCCCAAATATTGTATGCTGAGAAGTTAATATTTGCAGCTCTTTTTTGAAATTTTAAAGGTTTTTTTTTTTTTTTGAGAGAGAGAGAGAGAAAGACAGAGAGAGAGAGCTTGGGAGGGGCAGAGAGACAGGGAGACACAGAATCTGAAGCAGGAATCAGGCTCTGTCTGAGCCATCAGCACAGAGCCTGATGCGGAGCTTGAACTCACAAACTGCAAGATCATGACCTGAGCTGAAGTTGGACGCTTAAACGACTGAGTCACCCGGGCACCCCGATATTTGCAGTTCTTACACTGGCCTCTGTGTAACTCAGGTTTGATGAACTTTCAGTAAGGAAAGCTGGAAGAGCTAGAAGGGAGCTTTGAGATAAATAGCACTAGACCTTTTTCAACTGCAGCACCTTTGAGGGTAATTGTGATGGCCTATGATGGGGTGGAGGTGGAAGATAATACAGAATTACTTTCTTGGCTGGGGAGGAAGGGGAAAATGTAGTTTTAAAAAGCTGAATCATTTTGGGGTGCCTGGGTGGCTCAATCGGTTAAGCATCGGACTTCCGCTCAGGTCATGATCTCATGGTTCGTGAGTTCGAGCCTCACGTCAGGCTCTGTGGTGAAAGTCTGGATCCTGCATTGGATCCTGTGTCTCCCTCTCTCTCTGCCTCACCCCTTCTTGCACTCTGTCTCTCAAAATGAGTAAATGTTGAAAAAAATCTTTTTAAAAAAACTGGATCATTCCTATTTTCCCCACGCGCTCCCCAGAGTAGACTCTGAATGAAGAGAGTTAAAATAATCTGCATGAGATTATACAAAATCAAGACTAGATCCCAAATTCTGATTCCCAGTGTAATGTTCTTTCAACTGCAACAAACTAAAATTTAAACGAAACAAACCCAAAGCTTTTTACTTTTTTTAATATTTACTTATTTTTGAGAGAGAGAGAGACAGAGCATCAGTGATGGAGGGGCAAACACACACACACACACACACACACACACACACACACACACACACAATCTGAAACAGGCTCCAGGCTCTGAGCTGTCAGTACAGAGCCTGATGCGGGGCTTGAACTCCCAAACCATGAGGTCATGACCTGAGCTGAAGTTGGATGCCCAACCAAGTGAGTCACCCAGGAGCCCCCAAACCCAAAGTTTTAGTAATAAAAAGATTATTTTACAATGTCTATGTGCTGGAAAACAGGTTAGAGGGTCTCCTGAAAGGTTCAAATCAATCAATAGTCAATAATCTTGTCTTTGAAGCTTTGGTTTCAAAACAAGGCAAAACAAAGAATTAGAGATATTAGGGATGTTAATGTTAAGGTTCCAGGAAACCAAAACCAAATCACCAAATAATGAAAAGCAAATCACAGGGGTGGGGGAGCAGGGAGAAGGTGTTACAACTAACAGGTTATTATCAAAATGTCACCGTGCTTTCCATTAGGTCCAGCGTTTGAATAGAGGCATAAAGAAAATGGGCCAGGATCCAGGAAAGGTAGATTCCTCTAGCTCTGGGTTATCTTCTCAACTATACAATGGAGATGACTTTTGCTCTCTTAAAGGCTGCAGTGGAGAATGGATTATAAATATTTATAAACTATACAATGTGGTAGAACTATACTGTTGTAGAAACCACATCCCCCGATAACTAGTTCAATATTTTTTTTTTCCCTTTTGCCCAAAGACGCAAACTTTTGGGGAATCACAGATCCCTTCAAGGATCTGATGAAACCTACAGAACCCTTTTCGCAGAGAAATGCACATACAGATTTCTGCAGTAGACCTGTGAGGCTTGAGCCATAGAACCCAAAGCAAGGAGCCTCTCTGCTACTTGTATCAGATTTGCCCATAGCGACCTGGGGACTCTACAGTGTTAACAGGACACAGAAACAGAAAGCAGTGGGCACAGCCATGTAATGAATTCATTGTAGTTAGTATAGTTGAGAAATTGGGAAAGCAAAACAAGGTGGTCATACATTGCTGTGTCAAAGAATATGAAGTAAAATGCTGATTCACTGTATCATAAAAACCCAAATTGTGGATTCTGTCCAAGATATTTGGAACTTTTTCCGCCGTTCCTATTTACCCACATCTTTCAACTTCTTTTCAGTTAAGCTTTAATTTCTCATCTTCCTTCAGTTCATTTGGAAGTGACTGTAAAACCTGCTGACCGTGAATCGGCTTCATCATCTCTACTGGGTTTCCTTTATGAACAGATAACAATCTGATCAATATCCAGTGCCCTTAACATCCTTAGTTTACACAAATCAGCGATTTATTGTTAACAAGCCATTTCACCGAAAATGCCAATAGCCTACAAATTAACTGAGGCTTGGTTCCATCTGTTTCTTATTAAAGAAGGAAGGTCAGTTTTCTTTCACACCCACAAAGCCTATTAACTCAGACTAATGAAGTCAGCGTTTACGAAGAGTAAACGCCTTCAGACCGGACAGGCTGGACTAGACACAACTTTACTCTCTGATCACGCTAAAACGCATTGGAAAGAAATTATTTCCCCGGTCATCATTGCTAACCTTGGCATTCAATAAACAAAAGTTTAGTTCCTTAAGATGCCTTCCTGATTAACATTTGTAAAGATCAGCACTCACAACATATATGTACAGGTTTTGCATATCAACGACATGGTCCACATTGATAAAACTCATTTTAGCTACTGGGTTGTTAAGTCTCTGACCTCAAATTAACCCACGTTTGTGGGCTCACTGGGATCCCTTATTTCAAGCAATATTTGCAGCATTAAGATTAAAAAAATAATTTGAAGAGCCACTTGGGAGTTTCTTAGAGTTTATGACTGGCAATCATATGAGCTGTCTCCCTAAACTGAGCTCAAGGTTCCACTTATTTTCTTTTGCTTCATTATTTAATTAGCAATTCAGAAGATTACTATTTTTAAAGATTTTAGCGGCAGTTCAAGCTTCACGAGTTTTATGGAGTTTATAGCTGGCAAAAACTGAGAAATGTCTTCATAAAGGATTTTACGGCTTGCCTGAGTTTCTAACAGATTTGAAAGAAAAACTGGGAGATTCTCACAACATTTTATTTTTGGTTTTTGAAATACAAATCAGAATTCATTTTTGTTACATATCATGGTAACAAGCTTAACATTTCTTTGCACTACAGGATGATGACTTAATATACATACTTTCAAACTTCCTTTTTAAAAACAATACATTTTTTTTTGGAAGGTAAGGGCTTATTAAAAAGATTCATGGGTACACTAGCTGTTATTTTTCATTATTTTAGTGTTTACTAATTCTGAATTTGGGTAGCATGCCCTCTGACAGAAAATTTGGTCCTTTAAAATATATAGGTATTCCTCCTGTAACAAAAATAAAGTTGCAGCGCACATTGTGAAAAACAGAAATATTTGGTATAGGCTTCTGAGTGGGCTTGAAAGACAAGTCAGGATGTGTTTCGAGCAGACAGGGGGAACACTTGAGAACCTCCCTAGGAACACCCGGCGGCGACAAATGGCCTGGGGCTACCCTCACAGGGGACTCGAGGGTGCATGGGAGGGTGCCAAAGACTCACAACAGCCACACAATCGCTTACTCGAAATTAACCAAGATTCAGTATGGAATCATACACAACAACAGAAGAACAACCTCAACAGTGAATTGATGCCTGGAAAGCAAGTTGCAAGCTTGGACCAAACACCTCAGCAGAAACGATATTCGACAGGTTTATAGGACGCTGAAGACGAGCAAAGATTTCCGTCATCCACAGATGGTGCTTCGGGCACGAGTACATCAGCTTCCTGGGCGCTGGGAACAAGCATGAGACGCACACAGGAAGAATGAATCTGAGCTGCTTAACTCTCCACCATCCTCTTGAGTATTAAACCCAGGCCACCTTTGGCCACTTGCAGGGGTGTCTTTTCTTCTTTATTCTCAATGTAAATACTTGCTCCTTGGGACACCAGAAGTTTTGCTTCTTCCACTCTCTCCTCATCACAGGCTAAGTGTCTGGAATTGAGGACCACAAAGACTGATTACTCCCTCCCAACTCCATGTAATGACGAGGATTTCCTGATACGTGGTATGAACTGCATATTATAGGTAGTATACTATGAGGGTATTTAATCAGGAAAGGACAATCAATTTGCCTGGGAAGGACTGCTCCAAAATTAAAACTCAGTGGAATGACCTCGTAATACCGGATCATATATCATAATTGTGGACACATAGGGATCAAAACGCCAGCCTAAGAGCAACTTCCATACTTTATGGAGATTAGGGTGTTTTTTTACATTTGTATTTATTAAAAAAATTTTTAAGGTTTATTCATGTTTTTAGAGACAGAGAGAGACAGAGCACAAGTGGGGGGGGGGCAGAGAGAGAGGAAGACATAGAATCTGAAGCAGGTTCCAGTCTCTGAGCTGTCAGCACAGAGCCCAGTGCAGGGCTTGAACCCACAGACTCCCGAGATCATGACCTGAGCCAAAGTCGGATGCTTAACCAACTGAGCCGCCCAGGTGCCTCTGAGTTTTGCACCGAATGTGCACAATAAATAATTCAGGGCTAGGATTTAGAAAAGCCCCAATCCGTAATGGGTTAATAGCAAGTTGTGTGGTTTAAATTTTTGGAAGAACCGTTTAAAAGATTTTACCTCATTTTGTCTTTATATTCACCTTGTAAGTCAGCACGGTACTATTGTCATCATTTTACAGTTGAAATTGTGACAGAGGTTAGAATCCTTGCCTATGATGACATGGCTAAGCAGTAGCTGAGGGGGAAACTTTGTCAGGCACTTCCCATGTTTTATTTTTTTATTTTTTATTTTTTTACAAATAGTTTATTGTCAAATTAGTTTCCACATAACACCCAGTGCTCATCCCCAAAGTGCCCTCCTCCATGCCCATCCCCCCCTCCCCCCCACATCCATCATCCCATGTTTTATTTTATTTAAGCCTCAAAACAATGTTGTGGGGAATGAATTTTTATTCTCATATTACAGATGAGGAAATTAAGACTCAGGAAGGTTAAGTTACATGTCCAACTTATCTAATATAAGTATTTGATATAGCTGGTTAAGTGGCTGAGCTTGAATTCAGTAAATAGTCTCTAGCTATCCCTCAATCCTAGCCTCTTCCCAGGACCCTTTCCTGACCAACTCTTCCGTTTCCTCCTTGCTGTGGAGAAAAGAGCTAGAAATTACAAGTCTTTCTAAACAGAGTCACTCAGGACTAAAGAATATATTTTTATTTATGCATTTATTTTTAAAATGTTATTTATTTATCTATTTTGAGAGAGAGCTAGAGAGTGAGCAGGGGAGGGGCAGAGAGAGAGAGAGGGGGACAGAATTCCAAGCAGGCTCTGCACCACGTGGGGCTCAAACCCATGACCCACGAGATCATGACTTGAGCTGAAAGCAACAGTTGGACACTTAAGTGACTGAGCCACCCAGCTGCCCCAAGAAAAGACTTTTAAAACTGAGCATTAAGGGGCGCCTAGGTGGCTCAGTCGGTTAAACGTCTGACTTTGGCTCAGGTCATGATTTCACCATTCATGAGTGTGAGCCCGCCATCGGGCTGTGTGCTGTCAGCAAGGATCTGCCTGCTTCAGATCCTCTCTGTTCCCCTCTCTCTGCCCCTCCCCTGCTCTCTCAAAAATAAACATTTAAACATTTTTTTTAAAAAACTAAGAATTAAGAAAACAGTACTTTTAAAAAATGGAATCTCACTTTAGACTAAAAAGGAAGACTCACAAAATTACTGGTTCAAAAGTCACCACCCAATAAGGAAGAAAAGTAGCCAAGTACTGCAGAAATAAATACCAAAGCAGAGGACAGCCTCAGATCACAGATGTAAATAAATTCCAGATGGATGTGAGTTAAAAGAAGAACAGTAACAATAACTGTCAACCAAAAACCAATGCAATGTTAAAAAAAAAAAAGCCTACAATAAAATACAGGTAAGTATTTAACTAATTTTAGGGTGAGAAAGGACTTACTAGTCTTGAGGGAAGATAAATAGGTTTGACGACTTAGAAGCTGAAAAACTTCTGTTCTTTAAAACAATGAACACGGACAGACCAACTGGGAAACACCAGTTTCAACTAACATGACAGGTTAACATTTTTAGTATGTCAATCAAGGGAGCTTAAAAAAAGTCACTAAAAATAATTTCATTCCCCGAAAGCAAACAGAGAAAGGGACACAAAAAGTTACAAGTTAGAGAAGAAATCTAATTAGTTGTAGGCATTCAAAAACGTTTAACCTCACTGATAATGAAAAAATATAAATGATAACTATGAAGTACCATGTTTGATAGAACACAAGGATATTTGCAGTGTTGGTGAGGGGGCAATAGGCACCTTCAAACTACTGCTGGGAGGGTATAACGATACAATTCCTCTGGAAGCAATCCGGCAATATGTAGCAATACTCTTAAAGTGTGTGTTATTTGTCGACTCAGCAATCCTACTTCTAAGAGTCTGTACTAAGGTAATAATGAGCAAGAGGGCCAGAGATTTCTGTATGAATTTGGTCAGTGGCATTATTTATACTCATGGAAAACTCAAAAAAGCTGAAACGTGCAGAAAGAGGCGTGATTACATTTTGGCACATCCATAAAATGGAATTGCATATGGCCATTCAAAAACGTTTTAAAAATAGCAACATTGGAAAATGCTCACGATATATGAGGAGGTTAAAAGGACAAGATATAATCACATCCATAACATTATCCCAATTTTGCAAAAAAATAAAAATTTCAATATGCACATTTGCATACAAAAGAATGGGAGGAAATATACTAAAAATTTACACTGGCAATTTTAATTTTCATCTTCACACTTCTGTGTACTTTCAACTTTTTTGGGTCATAAATACGTATTACATTTCCAAGCAGAATTAAAAAAAAAGAAACGATGTGTAAGAATTAGTGAATTAGCACAAGAGAGTGAACGTCAAGAATACAAATGACTGCTACTTGGCACTTACAGAGGAGTGTTACCCTCAGTGTCTTGGATATTTGTGGATGCTTTGTAGTACAGAAGGATATGAATCATCTTCAAGTTACCCTTGGCTGCCGCCCGGTGCATTGCCGTGGCCTCATAAAGGTCCTTCGCATCTGGATTCGCCCCACCTTCCAGTAACATGACGGCGATCTGGACCCATGGAGGAGAAAACAATGCAGGCATCGGTTCGTGGTGGTAGACAGCTTTAGAAGTCAAAAAGGCAGCCAAGGAATGGAGCCCTACCTACCTCGTGTCTGTTTTTGGAAGCTGCATAATGTAGGGGAGTACAGCCATTTTGGTTGACTGCATTCACTTGGGCACCTTTACCCAGAAGGGCTTTCACAATCTCATCCCGGCCAGCAGACGCAGCAATATGAAGCGGAGACCAACCTGCCTGTGAAAGAGGTAGGTGGTATAAACTCCAGGGCGGATGAGGGGTGGGGGGAGGAAAGGCACAGGGATTAATACTAGCATTCAGGTAAGGTTTACACAGAGCTGTGTGTGAACGGTTCAAAAAAATAAAATTCTTTTTCCCTCATTAAGCACTGCAGAAAATGGCGAGAGTGGATGCATACAAGAAGGGAGACACATCACCCATCCTCCCCTAACACAGAAATAATGATACATAAGGCGTTTTGAAATTGGGATGGCCAGGATATAAAGTTCTGTGAATCTGCGTTTCCCACAATGTTTACTTATTGTTTTGTTGTGAGACTTTTGCATGTCATTCTTTGGGTTCTTAACTTTATTGGTTGCATATTATTTTATTATAAAGATATTCATACTGTATTCAACCATTCTTGCATTAGATTGTTTTTATTTCTTGGCTATTAGAAGTATTACTTTGGTGAGTATCTTCGAAGAGGAATCTTTGCCTACAAAAAATTTCCATCCTTACTCTTCACAAGTTTTATCATAATAGAACCAATATCATTGTAATAAATCTCTCTATAACAACAACAAAAGGGTATCCAGGCCCTAAGTATTCAGGCAATATTCACCAAGAACCCAAATCAAACCAAACCAAAACACCCCACAACTTCCCAACATAATAAAAAGGATTTGTAGTGTTATAGCCTTAATCTGCATGTTAACCTTAACTTCCAGGGTTTGAGTGGCAGAACGAACATTCTAAAATAAGGCAAACTCTAGTCCTGTGCGTGGTCACCAGGGCCCCTTGCTGTGACTGCCTAGTTGTAAAGGTTACAATTTTGTTTGTGAGCTGAATACTCCGTTTTCAGTGAACACCCGTCTGGAGGCTACAGATAACTTGGGCATGTATCAGCTCTGCCTAGTCCTCACATCATCTTTATCATTCACGGGCACGCCAAGCTGCAGCAAGAATTCAACAATTTCCGTGTGTCCAGCTGAGCAGGCCCAATGCAATGCAGTTCTGCTGTCCTGCACGGGAAACAGAGACGTGAGAAGGTCAACATTCTTGAAGCAAAATAAAAGGCGAGAAAGCATACAATTTAATATTGGGGCCAGCAAACCTACAGTTTGGAAGCAAGAAGTAGAGAGCACTGGACCCTCAGGTAGGTAACCTTCGATCATATTACTTACTGCTGTAAGAGACACCAAGGTTTTAGTAACATGGAGGAGAATCCATTGACAGTTGTAATTCTGTGCAGAATACAGCCATGAAAACGGCAGAGCATGAAACTGATTTCAAGGCTTGGCAGAAATAGAGCTTTGACTATTTACTGTTACATTATTTATGTACTTGTATGCCAGGCACTGCACTAGTTTTACAAGTATCATCTTGTTTAATCTCCATGATCCTGTACAGTGGACATGACCCCCATTTTGCAGATGAGGAAACTAAGAATCCTCAGGGTAAGTAACTTGTCCAAGGTCACACAGCTGGTAAATGGTAAAGCTAGGACACAAACCCCTGTCTGACACAGAAATTTGTAGATGCTCTGGAAAGAACAAACACATCTTTGTTTAAAAAAAAAAATTTATAATTTATTTTTGAGAGAGAGACAGAGCATGAGCAGGGGAGGAGCACAGAGAGAGGAAGACATAGAATCTGAAGCAGGCGCCAGGCTCTGAGCTGTCAGCACAGAACCCAATGCAGGGCTCCAACTCACAAGCTGTGAGGATCATGACCTGAGCTGAAGTCGAATGCTTAACTGACTGAGCCACTGAGGCGCCCCAAGAACAAATGAATCTTATGGGAAAGAAATGTCCATAAAACTAGTTGAGATTACCTACATAATCATTTAAAAAACATATTACATACAAAAGTTGACACCAACGTTGCTTTTAAAAAAATAAGCTAGGAGTTAGTCATGTCTCTCAAAGGGAATTTCTTTTTGTCAGTGACAGCTGTATTTCTCAGCTCTATGGAAAAGAATGTGGTGTTTTAATTTTTTTTAATGTTTTATTTATTTCTGAGAGAGAGAAGACAGCATGAGCAGGGGAGGGTCAGTGAGAGAGGGAGACACAGAATATGAAATAGGCTCCAGGCTCTGAGCTAGCTGTCAGCACAGAGCCCGACACCGGACTCGAACCCACGAACCATAAGATCATGACTTAAGCCAAAGTCGGACGCTCAACCGAGTGAGCCACCCAGGCGCCCCAAGAATGTGGTATTTTAAACATTACAAAATAATGTCAAACACATAAAAATAGAGGAAACAAAATAGAAACCCATATGCTTACCACCTAGATTTAGTATTTTCCTTTATTTGCCTCACTTAGTTTCCTCCATGATGTTTTGAAAAACAAATCCTAAATATTATGACTTTTCATCCCTAAACTTTTCAATATCTTAAGAAGAAGGATGCTGTTTTACATAGCTACGAGATCCTTATTACACCTATCAAAAATGACACTAACTCCTTTATAACATCTAAAGCTCAGTCTGTATTCAGCTTTCCCCAGGTGTCCCCCAAATGTTTTTTTTTAACAGTTGGCTTGTTTCAGTGAGGCTCCATACAAAGGCCATAATTTGCATACAATTGTTGGTTCTTAAGTCTCTTGACGTTGAATAGCTTCCCTCTTTTTTATGCCACTGACTTGATGAACAGATTAAAACTCCATTTGACATTATTAAGTTAAATTAAAAGTATTAAAAACGATCAGACCCTAATGAAGGTAAATTAAATAACGGTAAAAGCCATTTTCAGATTAAGCAATGAAGGAAAGTTCCAGAGTAAAGTCCGACTCTACTCTTCCGAAAGACACAAAATGGGGACTTGCAAGTAGGCGACAAGGTCTCGCTAGTGCTAAGCAGGGTACCTGTCATGTAGAAGGCAATCTATAAATATTTGTTGGCTGGCTGAGGTCACCGTGAGTCTCTAGAAACTCAGGGTGAAAGCATGGGGGTCCTCTGAGCAGAAACACTTCCCAAAGCCCATTCACTTTTGTTCCGCCTCCGCCTAGGAATGCCCCGTTCACCCCCCAGGAAAATCCCACTCATCCTTCAAGATCTAACCAACCTTCCCTCTTTTGCAAAACCTTTCCAACTACAACATTCACTCCTGTGAGGGGGACTGAATCAGGTCCTGCCATTCGATGTTCTGAAAGCACCACGTAAACTTCTCTCCTGAGGATTCGTAGGACAATTAGTTACTGGACACATGACCTAGGGTGACTTTAACGTTTGCTTCTTCCACTCGACTGTATCCCCAGCTCCGACGCTTGATCTTAGCCAAAAGGCCGAGAAGCGATGCTTTTATCCCCAACTCCTACCAAACTGCCCGCCACAGAATTGGCATTCGGTCACACGTGTTTCACCGTATACATTTACTAGACAAAGTAAATAAACCCATTAAAAAAAACCAAAAAAGGGGCGCCCGGGTGGCTTAGTCGGTTAAGCGTCCGACTTTCGCTCAGGTCATGATCTCGCGGTTCGTGGGTTCGAGCCCCGCGTCGGGCTCTGTGCTGACTGCCAGCTCAGAGCCTGGAGCCTGTTTCAGTCTGTGACTCCCTCTCTCTCTGACCCTCCCCTGCTCACGCTGTCTCTCTCTCTCTCCCCTAGAAATAAATAAAAACATTAAAAAAAAATTAAAAAACAAAAACAAACAAAAAAAAAACTTCCCACCTCCTCACGGGTATCTCACAGAGTGGGCATTTCTGAGAAACGCGGTAAACGTTCTAGAAATACCCCAAATTCAGCGTGCTTAGTATGAGCCGCCTCCTCCCCCCAAATACTTGAGGTCTGCGGGGCTAGCGACTACCGCCCGATCCCGAGTCCTGAGGTGACCCCGGGGAAGGATGGGGCGGCGGGGGCGGGGATCTGGCCCTCACGGAACCGGCCTCGGTGCGGGCGAGGCCAGGCGGCCACGTTGGGCCTCGTCGACACTGCAGCCCGCGGAGAGGCCCCAGCGCTGCTTTACCTGGTCCGTTCTAGTAGCCAGGGATTTATCAGCCAGGATCGTCTCCTTCAGTTCCTCCAGCTTCCCGCTGTAGGCCAGGTTGCAGACCATTAGGTTAGATACACACCCCTCCATTTCGCTTTTCCAGGATATCCGTGCAGCACCGGCACCGACGACCGCCTCACGTCCCCAGCTTTGACTGCCAATCAAAAGAGCCGACCGAGTTCCACCAGTCACAGATCTTTCTCGTGCCTTTGCTCCTTTCCCACCGCTCGGCGCCTCTGGGAGTTGCAGTTCGAGCGCAGTTCCGGGCGAGAAGGCGCCTTTGCGGCGGTCGCCGGCTCTGCCCCTAGCAGCGCGGAACTACAAGTCCCAGGGTCCTTGCGGCCGCCGTAGTCAAGTGGCCGGTGGAATTGGCCCAGGATGACAGCTGGAGAATGGAGTCAGGTACGGGGAGCGGCTTCGTGTGGAACCCGGGTGGGTGGTCGCTGTTGGGCCATTGAGTTGGCCGCGAGAAAGAGGTGCGGGGTCCTAGCAAGAGAGTTATGGGAGCCTGAAGGTCCTGTCCCACGGGGGCCCTGTGACCTGCAGTGGCAGGCGGAAGGGACAACAGTAGGCGCTGAGGACTACCTCCTGAGCTTGTGCGGGTGGCTGTGGCCACCCTCCACCTCTCTGCCGCCGCCCAAGGAGTAGAAAGAAGTAGGGGTAATTATTCTGACATATCGGCGGAGCGGCATCAGGGCAAAATTCTGTCACAGCAGTGATCGCATATGACTCCCTAGTAAGGTGATGTGCCAGGGTGATGCCAAAGGCAGGGTGTGAGGCCACAGGAGCCACCTGATATCTAATTGACCTCGGTGAGTCCACGGCCTGGTGACATCACAACTCGATGAGAGTCTTGATACTGTGGTACGGTGTTGGCCCTGTAGTGTCATGATAACAACGTTGGCATGGAGGCTTTGCTAGAAATATTAAGCTAATAGTGTTTCTATTTATGGAAATCCCAAATAGTGCCATAGCAGAAGAGATGCAAGGCTTATCCTTTATAGGGCATATCCAGGAGGGCATTGTGCCAAGACTAGGTAATGATAAGAATACACTCAAGAAAGAGACTGATTATGCTTGGATGTATCCTGTCATAGTGTAGAGCAGGGCTTGGCGAACTTTCTGTAAAGGGCCAGATAATAAATACTTTAGGCGTTGCAGGCCAAAAGGCAAAATTGAGGATAATTTGTAGGCAGTACATAACAAGACAGAAAACAAATTTCAACAAATGTTTATTGATGAAATCCAAAAATAAAATAATAGTTGGGTACTTTTTTTTTTTTTTTTTTTGTAATACAGGACTACTAATAAGAATACTGGAATTCTTTTCTGTGGGGGGGATAACATTTTGTTTAATTGGGGCTCACAGCCAGTGTTCCCCATTGTAAGAATCATGCCAAATGTTTATCTGTTAGTACTGATCCGTAATGAGACTTCTTATTTCATCTTTGTAAATGTCTCTTCACATTGATAGGTACTGCCAAATACTGATATCAACCGACAAACATATCCTTGTTAACTTTTATTTGACTTTTTAAATTTCAGCATAGCTTTAGTTTTATAGAAAAGTTGCAAAGATAGCACAGCATTCCTGTGTACCTTTCACCCAGTTTCCCCTAGTGTTCCTTTCCTATTTTTAACAGCTTTATTGAAATATTTTTTACATACCATAAAATTCACTCACTTCAAATGGACAATTAAATGATTTTTAGTAGTTAGTAAAAGTTTTAGTAAAGTTACTTAGTAGTGCAGCTATCCCCATAGTCTGTTTTAGAACATTTTCACTCTCCCAATATGATCCCCCTCATGCTTCTTTAGAGTTAATCCTTATTCCCACTCCCAGCCCCAGGTAACCATTAATCCCACTTTCTGTGTCTATAAATTTGCCTATTTTTGAGATTTCATCTGAATAAAATCATACAATATGTCGTTTTTCGTGCCTGGCTTCTTTCCCCAAGCATAATATTTTTAAGGTTCATCCATATTGTAGCATGTATCAATACTTCATTACTTTTGATTGCCAAGTAGTATGCTATTTTATGGCTGTGTATGACGTACTTTGTCTACTTACTAGTTAATAGTTTGTTTCCAGTTGTTGGCTATTATGACTAATGCTGCTGAGAACATTTGTGTGCAAGTCTCTCTGTGGACATATGCTTTCATTTCTTTAAAAATTTTTAACGTTCATTTATTATTGAGAGACAGAGAAAGACAGAGCATGAGCATGGGAGGGCAGGGCCGGTGGGGAGACACGGACAGAATCCAAAGCAGGCTCCAGGCTCCGAGCTGTCAGCGAAGAGCCAGACACGAGGCTCGAACTCACAGACTGTGAGATCATGACCTGAGCCAAAGTCGGACGCTTAACTGACTGAGCCACCCAGTCACATCTATATGTTTTCATTTCTTATTGGTAGATACCTAAGGGAAGGGTGGAATTACTTGAACATATGGCAAATTTACATTTAACTTTTTAAGAAACTGCAAAACTGTTTTTACAAAGTGGCAGCACTATTTTGTTTTTCTCCCAGCAACGAATGAGGGTTTCTGTCTCTCCAAATCCTTGCCAACATTTGTTATTGTCTGTCTCTTTACTATAGCCGTTCTAAATGGGTATCAAATGATAACTCATCATGGTTATAATTTGTATTTCCTTAACGACTAATGATGATGAGCATCGTTTTATGTGCTTCTGAGTCAGTTGTGTACCTTCTTTGGTGAAATGTCTGTTCATATATTTTTTCTATTTTTGAATTGAGTTATGATCTTTATTATCTTTTTATCGTTGCATTGAAAGAATTGTTGATATATTCTAAATACAGGTCCCTGCCAGATACATGATATGTGGATATTTTCTTCTTGTCCGTTGCTTGTCTTTTCATTTTCTTTTTTTAAATTTTTTTTTAACATTTATTTATTTTTGAGAAAGAGAGTGTGAGCAGAGGAGGGCAGAGAGAGAGGGAGACACAGACTCCGAAGCAGGCTCCAGGCTCTGAGCCGTCAGCTCAGAGCCCGATGCCGGGCTCGAACCCTCGAACCGCGAGATCATGACCTGAGCTGAAGTCGGCCACTTAACTGACTGAGCCACCCAGGCACCCCTTGTCTTTTCATTTTCTTAATAGTGTCTTTTGAAGTGCAAAAGTTTTGAATTTTGGTGAGGTCCAATTTATAGTTTTTTTCCTTTGTAGGCCATGCTTTTGGTGTTGTGCATTTAAAAAAATGTACAATTTAATTATTATTAATGTAATTTAGAATTATGTTATCATCATTGCAGTCTGACCTGAAAGATTTCCATCCCCCCAGAAAGAAACTTTATGCTCATTTTCAGTCAGTCCCCATTTCTACTCCCCGCCTTAGGCAACCAATACTTTCTTTTTCTTTTTTTTTCCTTTTTTTTACAAATAGTTTATTGTCAAGTTGGTTTCCATAGAACACCCAGTGCTCATCCCCACGAGTAATACTTTCTTTTTCTATGGATTTTCTTTCTCTGGGTTTTCACATGAACAGAATGACCCAGTATGTGGTCTTTTGTGTTTGCCTTCTTTCATTTAGCATGTTTTTGACATTTATCCAAATTTTAGTATTTATCCGTAACTCATTCCTTTTTATGGTTGAATAATATTCCAGTGTATGGCTCTACAACATTTTATTCATCTTTTCATCAGTTGATGAGAATTTGTTTCTACCTTTTTATTATTATGAATAATGCTTCCCTGTGAACATCTGTGTGCAAGTTTCTGCGTAGACATGTTTTCATTTCTCTTGGTACATATCTAGGAGTAGGATTTCTGGGCCACAAGGGACCTCTATTTAACTTTGTGAGGAACTGCCAAACTGTTTCCTACAACAGCTGCACCATTTTACATTCCCACCAGCGATGCATGAGGCTTTCAGTTTCTCTGTATCTTTACCAACACTTGTTAATGCCTATCTTTTTTATTATAGCCATTCTAGTGGGTGTGAAGTGGTATCTCATTGTGACATTGTTGTTTTGACTTGCGACGCATGGGAAGTGTATACAACATGTTGACATTACTTTTGATTCAAACAGTGTTAGTTGTTGAAATGACTTTTCCGCAGTGTAATTTCTGCAGTGTAAGGTTCACAAAGAAGCGCTGTTTGCCTTGTTATTTTAGATTGAATTAATTAAGGAACATTATCTACCCTTCAGCAAAACCTCACTTCCAGAGCCATTCAGTGTTTGATAATAGTGGTGGAGGGCAGGTTTCCAGGCAGTTAAAAATGTAAAAATCATTACTATCTTGTTTACCATAGAAAAAAACACTAGTGGACTTCATTTGGCCTGCCATATGCAGTTTGCTGATGGGCTGGTGTGGAGTGAAAGTGTCCTGTATATAGTAGGTGTTGAGTAAATGTTTATCTTGTTGATTACAGAGTACAGCAGGCTTGCTGTATGGTATTCATACAGGATTGAATATAGTGACATTTTACCTTAATAATACATCAAGGAATTGTATTTGATTGCTAAAAACAGCTGGAAAAACAACTCAGAGTACCTCTCCTACTGAGTGACTTGTTTGTGTAATCTTCTTTTATAGATGATGTGCTGTACTTTTATTTATTTTTATTTCTTTTCCTTCTTTTAAATTTTGATACAACATGGCGGTTAACTTTCAATTCTGAGTCCCTTAAGGGTAAGGGTAAGGTACCCCATGACTTTTTGAAAGCTGAAAGACAAACTGATGTATAAGGGAGAAGGTCTCTTTTGTCTCTGGCCCCGAGTTATGGAAGAACAATGTGGTTACTGTTTATCTATCAAGAGTCAAAGCGGCCCCCTGTTGGGACTGACTCCCTTGCTGCTCATATGATTGAATGTCTCCTATTGCCTTTTCTACTGGTCACCTAGATTGTAGGTCCTAAAACAAATCAAGTTCATCTTCTGGATTCAATAATGTTAAGAATAACTAACGTTTATAGATCACATGTGTCAATTATTGGTCTTATCTCATTTAATCCTTCACAACAGCTCTGTGAGGTAGGTACTATTTTCCCTCCAGTCCTCAGCAATTTAAAAATGAGAATTCTGGTTAAGAGAATTGATGTAATCTAACATGCCTAAGGCCACACAATTCAGTAAAGGTTGGAGCTAAAATTGAAATCCAGGACTATTGTACCCCAAAGCCCTGCCACATACTGTTCAGTATTGCTGAAGATGAAATTATGTATTAATGA